CTCCACTTCCTTAGATATTGATATAATTTGCCCATAATCTTAACCCTCGCACATCTCTTGGGGCAGAATAGCACCCAAACGCAGGGAGTTTAAAATATTGTTTTGATTAGATGGTACTTGGATGTTGTGTGACCTAAAGGTATATACCTATACCTATATCTTGAATTAAGTTTGTTGTTCTTACTAACTTTGTTTCATGATTTACGAATGAATATAACAAAATGAAGAATTTATATATTCCTTATAAAGATATATTCCTTGAAAACAAGTCTTAAAATCTCTCATGCAGTTTGCTTCTCAAGTAAATGCATGTTGCTGAAAGTATTTTTACTGGACAAGGCATATTAAGAAAATTATATTTTGCACTGAATCACCATGTCCTAACCAAGATTCTAGCACCAAACAAATTGTCTGCCACACCAGATGTGACATCTTCAAGACACAGCAAAATCAATTACAGATCACTTGTTTCACTGAAGTTATTTTCAAGATCTGAGGTAACTGTCTCTATATTGTTTGATTATTTGTCTCTTTCAAATGATATTTGAACTCAAACCATTTTAATACTATTCAAAACACAACCAGTAACTGAACTGTCATCCAAAACAAATTTGAAACTATTTAAAAATGTTGAATCCCCAACAATCTGTGTTGTGGCTGGTTAGGACAAAAAGCATTGATTAGCATAGAAAAGATCAATTTTATCGTGTGTCACACCAACGCTTTGATCTGGTTAGGACATGGTGTAAGCTTGTAGGTGAAGCTTTGATGCATGACAATTTGTTTGTTTTTTTTTCAATGATGATCCTCCCTATTTTATAGTATTACCGTCACGTCATGTTTCCCTGTTCCTTCCATCTGTTTCCGTGATCCCGTGAATGATTGGTTCGAGAGCCTGGCCCAATGTTTACACTGGAATATTTGCAAGAAACAGAGTCATCTGAGTTCTGAAGAGGAAGAGTTCTGACCACATTCCAAGCTTTTACAGCACGGTTAGTTAGCTATGTTCTTTTTTTGTCTTTCAAAAGTTTTAGTACATGCAGTAATGTTTTCTCTGTTTGCCATAATTATCCAAGTGAATCTCATAAAAAATCTCATAAAAACAAAAGTCTCATTTCAGCTAAAGAGGAAAAAATACAAAATTATATTTTGCTTAAAAAAACTATTTTTAGGACAATTAATATTTTTCCATTGTGACTTTTTTTTTCTCCGCACAAAAACACTTGTGTTTGTGGTTGTGTGTTTGTGTGTGTATCTTATCTTTTTTTTTTATTCTCATTCGAGATAAGTAATTTTCTAATTTTATGCACTATGGTAATGAGAATTCGGTGCAAATGTGTGGAAAATGGCATAATTTCTTTCTTATAAAATCTTAATTTCTTCTTTAAATTTTGGGTGAAATATGACCCCAATATTCATGGCCACATATTCTTGGCGAGTTTTGTGGAAATTACTTTTAAATTGATAACTGACAGTCTTTTAAAGGATTATAGCAATAACTACATTTTATTATATTACATTGTGCCTTATAGAGTATTGCATCAAAATCAGTCAATGGGGGAAATTCTTTACAGTATTGGATACATGTATTTATGTCATATTTAGAATGTATTGTACCTTGGTTATCGATATAATACATATCTGAGCTTAAATATTCATTAGAATATTTTTTTTTTCTTTTCTATTTTAAAACCCCTGGAATTTTTCCATTGGTGTCTTGCAGCCCAACAAACAACTGAATTTCCAATGAAATTGCAATCTGTGCATTGAGTATTCAAATATACTGTATATGTTCCATTTTTAGTTTTATATACAATGTCATGAAAGTAGTTTCTCAAAAACTACCACAAGAAAAGTATACACTAAACCCTATCCTAGATTTTATATTGAAATGTAAGCTTTTCATATCAGTAAATGAATGCTTCACATTCAACAATGACTCAGTTTACACCATATCTAACCTTTGCTTCTGTGTTTTACGACATCTTGTCATAAGCCAGTTTTTATTTACTGTCAGAATTTTTATCATTATTAAAAAGAACATTCATAGCAAAAATGTTTTTAAAAATGTGTCCTTGTCTCTTACTGTTTTCCCAAGTTTGCTGCAAAAATGTATTTTTGTCACAGCATTTTATAACTGACTGTTACGTGCTCTGATTGTTGTTCCCTCCCCTTTTGTTACTGGTTGCTGTATTTCTCCCCTTGTTATTGGTTTCTTCCTGTTTTCCCGCTCTCCGCTGTTTCTCTGTTTCTAGGT